ATTATTATTATTATTATTATTATTATTATTATTATTATTATTATTATAGGTACTGATGTATATGTATTTTATTTTCAAATTTCAATCAGTAAATCTTTTTGATTATAACTATTATTATGAAATTAATTTATACGATAATACTTAAATAAATTATGCATCACGGAAACACCATAGGTTCTTAGAGCTTGATAAATATAGAGATAATGTATTATTTTAGATATACGAATAGAGTGTGACAACATTCAGTACGAATTACTGCCGTGTTGAGAGTTCTTGACTTTATATTGTTTTCTAAAAAATAACATAATTATAGTTTTGATGAGAAAAAAAAAATGAAAACTTCTTTATATTATTTCAGAATACAGATAATATTATAATTAATATTATAACTGTAATACGTTCTCTCCAATAAATGTTTAGTTGTTTTATTTTCATCGGCACCGCTGTTAAGCTGATTATTTTCACACTCTATGCATTAACTTTATGTACACTTATTCTTATCATTAAGATCTAGTCTATTTTAAATTGTATGTAGTATACTTTTTTCGACTACAAATATTTTTTGTGATAATAATATTATGGGTCCATTTTTCCAAGTTACAAATATCTTCCGATTAAATTGTTTGTTCGTTCGATCATTATTATGTGTATCTCAAACGGCATTTGTATTTTAATAGTTGTTATAGCGATTTATATAATATTGTAAGTAATTATGTATGAGATAAACTCGAAGACATTCTATTGTTTTTAAATTTAAAAGCAAGATTGTCTATTATTATTATAGCTACATAGATATACAGTAGTATCATAATTCATAGTTGAAAACGATATTTCGTCGCATACAGAGAATTTGTTATTTTATAGGTATATTTCAGTTTATATTTTATCTATAGGTATATCTAATATTTTGTATTATTGATTACTCTTTAACACTGTATAATATGCATTCATTTAACGTTCTTCTTTCTATCTAAATTGATTTGCAGAACTATTATTGATACAGCTACATCGTTTACATTGTTAGGCTTACCATCACTTTATTGCCTTCGAAATTTCGCATTTTATTATAGTATATATTTGTACAATATATTACTATAAGATGCAGTTTTTATATTATTATTATATAAATATTTTTTTTTAGGAATTATGTTATTTAAACTTAAAATGTTTTTCCATATTTCTTTATAATTTATGTTAAATTTTAAACGATAAATATATGTGTTCTAAAACAAATATAAAATGATTCAAAAAAAAAAAATTCTGAAGTTGTTTTTATTTAATAATATGTCTTTGTATAAATTAATATATTGTTATTATAACATTGAATGTTATTGATATAATTAATACTCGGAATACATCGAATCATTTTCAAAATGAAAGCAAAACTGCCCAAGAGAGTAAATTATGTTACTTGAAAAATCTTGTCACCTTGTATTGTTCACGATTTACCTAAGTAATGATAATAAAATAAATGTCAGTCATGACCTTCAGTTGAGCATTATAATTTATAATATAACCTACTTGTGCAAAAACTAGTATACATAAAAAATATTGTCTATAAAGTAATCGTTAAAAAAACAACATTATAGTTTTACTAGTTTCACTAGTTTTTAATTTTAAACACAATAACTCTTAAAAATAAATTAATACATATACCATTATTTATGAAAACGTAGAAGAACGTCTCTATCAAGTATGATATATTATGTGATATTTTATCATTGTCGCTTTGCAGTTAGATTATGTGTGCTCTAAACGTATACAATAAATTATATTTTAAACTGTTTACTTATAAAATTTAAAAATAAACACAGAGACTATGTAAACAAAATATATTTTATTATCACACATTCAAATCACAAAAAAATAATAAAACCATATTTTTTTATATATATATATACATATATATACCGCGGATATTAGATTCATACAATTATAAAGTTTAGGAATACTAATCTGAAAATTACCTGTATGATGAATAGTTTAACATTTAAATCTATGTTTATTTTAGACACATAATAAATGTTAAAACAAGTCATTAATAATATTTTGTTTACCCTTTAAGATCCAAGTCAAATAGATAACTTTTATTTCAAAATTTGAATTCATGCTTAATATCTCTTATGGTTATGACATGTGAGCTGCAGATAAGACTTATTGCGGTTTATTATAACGTAAGTGACTACAGTTTTATTCATTATGCTAACACAGGACGTTTATTTTTGCAAAAGTATGTATAAAAAAAATTTAACTTAAGTTAGTTAATTTAATATATAATTAAATAATATGTTAATATTTCAATTTAAATAATATATTTATATTTTAAGGTTTAAAATTGATAGATATGTAAATAAATACTAATTCAATTAAAAATAAATTAAAATTATTATTTTTTTAAATAATAACTAGACATTTTGCTAAAAATGTAACCTTAATAATATACAATTCTTTCTTTTCTGTGACTATCTATAGTTATTTAGGCGATAATTACATGGTTGAGCTAACTAAATTTTAAATTACCAACAAAGCTTTGTTAAAACATATTCCTACTAAAAATATAACGAGATAAAAACTGAAATCTAATAGAAACAAAAGGAAAATTTTTAACTATGGACAATAAATAATGGCTTACTGAATAACTTTTTTATTGATTCAACCGAGAGAGAGATAAATGTATCTAATAGACATATTATATTTAGTGTTTTATTAAAAATAAACTTAAGAAACCAAATTTAACTTATACTCATATAACATTTTTTGTACTATTATTAACGACCATAAAGTAAATTAATTTTTTTTTTATTTATTAATTATAATTTACAAGTAACACTTAGTTTCATAAAAATACGTGAATTATTTGTAATAATAATAATTAATATTAAATGAGTTTAATATATATAATATATAAATATTAATTAATAAACCGTATTGTGTGCGCGCAATAACAGTAATATGTTGTAAAAAGACTTATTGCATCTGTCCGACGTATAGGTATACTATTTCGCACGAGTCTTTGTGAACTTCTGAAAGTGAAGTATGTCAATAACGCGTTGTTATTGTATTATCATTTATCACACAATATAAAATGTGAATGAAAATTCTAAACATCGTTACATTGTTGTAGAAATTGTACACGATATTCGAACAGCAGATGTCGTGCCACGCGTAGATACCGCATCTAGTAAAAAATCTGTGTCGGCTCTTCCTGTCATTAGTGTTTATTCTGTCTATAACAATAGCGTAATACGTAAGATAATATCGCGTAGATAAATATTACATAGGTACTGGATGCGTTGCCGTTTTATCCTCCGCCAATAAAACTTTGCAATTTGAAAAATGTTCGTAAATAAATAAGCCCGGTAATAAAAATCTTTATTTTCGTTCGAGATAGCCAGCTAATAACGCGTAAACGTACGAATCATAATTTTTAACTCCGATCTGGCGGGGCGGAAGACGTGTTCATATTTTAATTTACGAGTTTTTAAGTCTATATAAACCGAAAACGGGACGTAGAATAACTAACGATGAGACGTGCTGGAATACAACATTTTATTCCATTTAGCATCGTAGTAATACTTACAGTCAGACACTCAGACGGTTATGCGCGATGACGTCAAATGCGGCGAGACACTATGTATGTCCGTTAACACATTACATAACGTCATTATCACAGCAGCAGTTGAAAACTCCGTACAGCGATACGATGTCACTGTCGGAAGCAAGTGTGAAATTTTAATTAAAATAATGTCATTATATATATATATTGACGTCCGTGACAGCGGTGATAAAACTAGTTTTAATCGCAGCTATCCATTATAATAGTATACTACCATAGCGTTTCCGTCATGACACGACGTCGTCAATGCAGTGTTGACTCGTATAATACGTCATAAAATGTTATTTAAATAAAAAAAATAAAGTAATTATTTACCTACTGGAAATGCACAAAAATGAAAATCGGT